GGGTCCTATTAAAGAAAGTCTTAGTGTTTTGATTAGAGGTTATTTTTTTCGTGTTTTATGATTAAGTTTCTGTGGTCAATTACCATTCTTAGTTTTTTCTTTCCAGAGCATCCGTTTTCTTAAGAACTACCCAAATCGGGCTATTGTAGGGGGAATTAGGATGTTGGCTTATTCTGTTTTTTAATAATTTCTCTATTTCTATTTGTACATATTTACGATACACTTGTGGGTATTTATTTTCGCGAATAAATTGGTTTTTCATCGGTTGTTAATATTTTATGTTTTAATAAACCTGTCGATGTTAACTTATCATTTTCCCTTTTAATAACTTCAGGATATTCTTTCGATAATTCGATAATTTTATTGTTTTCTTCGGAGTTCATATGCTCCGTTCTAATTAATGAGGTATATCTTCCCATATTTTTCTCAAATCTGAGCGTATTGACATTTCGGGGCAATTGGCCATTTCTGTCTTCTTCGCTCGTACGAGTGCTTTGCGTTTCGTCAATGTCCTTGGTTTCGGAACAAATGGCCATTACTTGTCTGGACTTGACTTCGCAAGCTGTCTCCTTTTTTGGATTATTATTATTTATATATTTTTTATTTAAATTTCAAAGTGATTTATTATTTAATTCTGTTTGCTCAAATGTAAGATTCAGAGGTATCGAGCCACCAGGGAAAAAAAGAATTTTATTAGTTAAATCTATTTTCGTTTATTTTCAAATGTTCTGTTAATGTTAAAGTGTTGTTGTTGTTTATAATTTTGGAATTTATTGAATGGTGTATGTTGTACATGGGAATATTGTATATTAAAATACGTAGGGTTATTAATGGTTTGGAATTCTATTGGATTCACTGGACTTCTTGTAGTCTTGTGATATTTGATAATATAAAAGAGCATTTGTTATATATTATGCTCCTAATTTCATCTATTGTTTCTGGATTAGATATCATAATGCGGTTACTTAAAGCGGAAGGTAAACATTTAAAAATGTGAAATATCATTTCTTTTTCTATCCTAGTCATTAATTCTTTCAAGGTGTCTGAATTTAGTCCGTCTAGCTTTGTTCAAATATAAACTATGGCAGGGGCAATTAGTTTCTTTTAATTTTTATGAATAAAACATTATGATTGTAATCTTTTTTAATAATATTTTCTGCACACAATACGCTGTATGCAGTTTCCAAAATTTCACAAAAGATGGCTAGTTCTGAAGGGTTTCCATCGAAAAAAAGAATGTGATCGTAGTCTTCTTTAGTTATTTTATAATTAATTTTTGTAGACATGCTAGAGAGAAGGATTAACATGGAAAGTTTAATAAGCGAAAGATGGCTACTTATCCTACGGTAGTGTTCTTCTTCTCCAGGTTGCTGGTTCTTCTTTCTTTGGCTATTTTCAAGACGTTTCCTCCTGGATGAGACGAATGGTCGCTGCAGGAATTTCTTCTGTCTTGACTTAACGAAAAGTTTCTTTGAACCGCTAAAGTTTCCGTTGAGTCAAATGGACGTAACTGCGGGACAAATGGCCACGACTTTAAAACTTTAGCTATTCCAGGTCCCTGTTCCGGGCGCCAGTTAAGTGATCGCTCGAAGAAGACTTTTAAAAAAAGAAGAAACTTTATTGTCAAAACTGTACAATGTTTAATTTTAAACCGACAGAAGACTAGCGTATGAGTAAGGCAAGGATATTTGGGGATTAGGGTTTTATATTAGTTTAAAGAAATGCTGATTAAGATGATGAGCGGCCGTCTGGACTCGCCAGACTTTGCTGACGTGTTTGTCTGAGGGGCGTTTGGTTATTCCATAACTTCCATGTGCAGTGAGTGCAATGGGCCTGCTCGTATTCTCGCCCTCACTGCTAACATCCCTACGGCCAGCCTCAGTCGCCTACACCACGGGAACCGGACTCTCCCCATCACCGCGCTTCAGAGCCCCCTCTCCGGTGGCCACCCAACTCCGTGCTCGCTTCCGGACTTCAGCAGAGGTCTTGCCTGGGATGAGCGCCTCTATGGGAAGAGTATCTTTCGCGCAGGATAGTGGAGAGCCATCAACCGCCCGCGTCCTCCCTGATGAATCACACCCTCCCCCTTGAACATGGGTCTGTGCCCGGCGGACTTTGCACAGCCTGAGGATTACAATTTTTCAGGTGTATGGTCCTGCCTTCGTCGTAACACTCCTGGTTCAGGAAGGGCATGAAAACTCCCTGGAGGGAACTACAGCCGGACAACGAGGCGTCTGGCAGGCAGCGGCATGGAAACGGTCGAAACCGGCCCCGCAGTTTCCGCAAACAAAGGATAACCGATCATGGGGATGGTAAGTTCAATAATGTTTCGAGAGGTCACCATGACCCTTCCCCCGGGAGGAACACAAAAAACCGCATAAGCGGCATGTGACCAGAAGAGGCAGAGGGAATACGTAGCTCCCCGTCGTCGAATCCGGTTGGAGCTACATGGCAATAGCGGGGGCAATGAAAAGGGGAACAAAAAAGGTGTACTTCAACAAAAGGAAATAATTGTCTCCGATGCTATTGCCAATTGAAAACCGCCCCAAAACTTCATCAAAGCGGACGACATAGCCTCGCTTGACAGCGGCCAACAGGAGGTGAGGTTGTCTTGGTTTTAAAACCCTTGGAACCATGACCATCATCGCCAAACCATCAACTTTCAAAACAGGGTGAAGGAGGGTTAGCTAAGAGAGTCATATTTACTTTCGCCAAATAAATGAGGTTGGAATTGATTGCGGTAGCCAGCTCAATGTCCAGAGTCGACATTAAATCGAACACATTTGAGACTCACTTAAGCGACGAGTACGACGACGAAACACAGGTCCTAACACCCTGGAAGAGAAACAGCTATTTTTGATGAATTGGAAAGAATTCCTCGGGATTTTGAATTTTTTGTTTGTTTTTTCTTTATTCAATTATTTTTTTGTTTCGTTTTTAAAATTAGGTAACAAACATTTTCTTATTAAAGAATTTATTCTTAGAACCAAACATTTTTTTGGTTAGCGAAATATGATAAACGTAAATACAGTAAAATTTAAAGGTAGTGCGTTTATTTTGTCCATCAGTGTACATTAATTTATTAATTACAACATGCTTATTTTAATGTAAACCAAATTAAACGTATTAAATAAAAATGAATAAATTCTGATGATTTGACAGAAAATTTATCAAAACACCCGAATACTATTTAGTGATAGAATGAATTTAACTAACACTTTATTTACTGATTTTACTCATAACAAAGCATTAAGAGCAAAATCAGGAAAAGAGTGTTAGTTCAATTTTACCATTCACTAAATGATTTTGGTTGTCAATTGTTAAACAAATTGTTTGTTTTCACCAAAATCTTAAGACGGGTGTGCGTTTATTACTTACTGATTTTCTGGTTTTTTGGTGTTCTTTCAAACAATCATAATTAAATATTTTTTAAATAAAACTCATGAATTTCTGATCTCTTTTTTTGCTTACATTAAAGGAAGTAAATTGTAATTAATATATCGATAAAAATACATACGGCCGACAAAATACAGTTTTTGTCATTGAGTGTATATAAGTTTGAGTCCCTGATCCGTTCTTTTATTGCCTCATGCAGATAATCAAATTGATGTTTTGTCATCCTCAAATACCAAATATGAAACACGGATTGATCAGCATTTTTTTTTCTAATACAGAAATCAACTTATGCTATTCGCTAGATACCTCTATTGTTCACTTCATGAACCCAAGTTTTTCTGTCCGCCATTGAAAGATGCTATGACTTCCATGTCTTTCTCATATTCATCCTCATATGTATCCATTTCGCGAATGCTACAGTGATACACACTGTATCGTCTGTTGCGTGTGCTTGCGTCTAACATATGGGCGCACCCACATGCGACAAAGCGTGGGTGGCGCGTTGGGTCAAGTTGCGTTGCGTCGATTGTGTTCCCCTCATTAGCTCAGTTACGCAGCCACGTCGGTAAAGGCTACATTCACACCAAAAGATGGGCGCGAAGAAGAACCACGGAAAAAATGCACTTTCCAAGGAATGGCTATCATTCATAGTGGCTCCACAATACGTATATTTAGGTCGCAGTGTAGGAAAGAATTTTTCTAATTCATAACCAACCCCCACCCTAACAAAAAAATATTTTCAACAACAGGTACTAATGGATGCAGAGTAGTTTTTTGTACTGGAAAAATATCGACTTGCCCTAACTTAATGCAAATCACTTTAAATAACTCTAAAGTGTTTAAAACGGACGTGTAATTTTGTCGTAAAATTTAATTAATGCTCTAATCAGTCAGTTATATATCTTTTCTCTGGTATATGGCAAATTCAAATAAATTTGCCTTTATAATAAATACTGTGTAAGTGGAACAAGATAAGTTTGAAACGATTGGAAATTGTCGTAGGACGGACAAACAGCAAGGTCAGAAAAAATCCCCATGAAAAACTGACACGTCAAGATCTGAAATAAAATCGCGAGAAGGTCCGTGGGCAGCGGGTGAGGTCGTCTGATGGGTTGGGAAAATTCTTTGTGCAATATATTATTGTCTAAAGGCTCACACTGTAAATATACAGACATCTTAAATCAACTTCTTTAAATAGTCAATTTTTCTTTTCTTTTTGGAAATTATGGCCTATGACAAATATTTGTCTTCGTGTGTGCAAAATATACGCGGTTTTTTTGTAAATTTCCTCCGGCTCTAGGAATGAGCTTAAATCCCCCAAACAAAAACAATCTGTATTATTGAAATAGAAAAAAACGTCATTACAGTGAATGAATCTAAAAGAAATTTGATTTTAGGAATTACAAAAATGAAAATTTGAATGCCTAATTATTAACTTTTACAAATGAAAGTAATGAATTTTCACTTATTCACATGTATACATATTATTTTGTATATAATATCCGATTTAGTTACGTCCAATAAATTACTTACTTTCACCTTTAACATATAATTATACTTAAGCTTTGTATTTTTATTTATTTTTGTTCTTTCCCATATTACAGTGATTCACTATGGCGACGGTAGTGTACGCAGATCTGAACACTATACAAGATGAAGATATTCTTCGAAGAATGGTAATCCTAAACTCAAATAAAAAAAATATATATATAACCTAGTTACTTTGTTATTTTGTAATACCTTTTTTGATCTGAACACAATATACTTTGGTCATTGTTTATAACTTTTTAATAGTAAACCAGAACTAGCCTACAAACTGGTTATATGATAGGCTATTTTACTCTTAGTAATTAAAAATTAATTGTACTGAAATTTCTTTAACGGATGAACTAAAAATTTAATTCCAATAAAGGCCACAAAAATAGTTTTAATTATTGTCGAAATTTAGCAAAACTGCACCGATTTTTCAAGTACATTTGTATCAAATTCAGAGAAAAATGTATTCTGTTTTGCCGTATTTGCTAGTTTTTATTTGTTTTTATTTTTTCCAGTGGGCGAACACAGAAGATTTTGGGAGAAAGAAAGAAATTAGAGCCCGCATGTATAAATTAAGAGAACAACGATTGAAGGACTTTTACACGACCGGAGATGTATCTGATATGAACAGGAAGCACCAACAGCTGCCGAGGCACGCAGAGTCCCTGGAGGATCAAGGGTTCATGACAATGAAGAGCAAAGAGATCAGGGATTCCGAATCGCCAACGAGAGACATGAGCCGACGTAAAGGCAACGGATACTGGGATTCGAGACAAGAGACCGTCTACGGTAGAGGAAAAGAAGAAGACGCCAACATCGAAGTGAAGTACGTGAGCACGGAAGGTCGGGGCGTTGTGAAAGAAGCCGATATGGAGAAAAAAGTGGCCTACCAGACGGAATCGGCCCAAGAATCGACCTGGAAGCAAGACAATAACAGTTTTATGAAGGCCGAGACTCAGAAAGAAATGTCCCAGTCCGCATCCGTTGCAAAAAGCGACAACACAGAAGAACGGACTTTCGCGCAAAACGAAGAGTTCTCAAATTTTAAAACTATGACTGAACAGAATGAAAGTATGTCGTCTGTGTCGAATGTCAGTGCCTCTACATCTTCCAGGCAGGTGACGTCCAGTTCTTACCGGACCACGTCCGATAATAACCAAGACGGCAAAGTCGTCGTGATCGAAGATTTCGGGACGAACGCTCGTCCCCTCGTCGAACTCACTTCTGATTCTATGAGAGATTTCATAGACGACGATGTGCAAACGGAAAGCTGCACGAATCAACATAAACGAGAAACCACATCTAAAACTTCTACTACAAATCAGAGCTTAAAGCAGGTGTTTTCCACTCAAACTCTGGACGACTCTGTACAATTGGACCTAACGAATTTTCGAGTAAGAGGCGAAGATGTGGACGTTGGAGAAAACGTGAAAGTTACGGAGTATCGTACCATTACGGATAACCAAAGCAGAAAGGAAGATCAAACAAACGAACAATTATATAGAAATTACGAGGTTGAGAAATCTCAAGACAGATCTTTAGAACAGACCGTCGACATTTCAACTCTTAGAGATTCCTCGAAAAAGGAAGAGGATCGATCAGCAAGGAGCGATGATTTCTTAACTGCCGAACAGATCCAACGGAAGACGTCCCGTACGGGCAGTTCGACGAGACACGAAACGATTGTAAACGAGAAAGCGGCTACTGAACAGAAAATACTGAACGAAATTCAAAAATTGGATAGTTATCTCTCAACGCATACACCGGCACCATCGACTCCGGCGAGCCCTCCTTGCGAACCCGATGGTGGGTGGACTCTCGTCTCTGACAAAGGCGGTGAATTCGTTTATCACGAGAGGAGCGAACCCGATGGAAAGAAGTCCGCAGTTCCAAGTCACGCGGCCGGAAAGAAAACAACACCACCTTCTTCGATGGACTTGCCTACGAGCGCTACGGACGGACAGTACATGACCACGTACCAACAGTCGTACAATAAAATTTCCGTCGATCATACTCCTTCGCACGAATTTTTTGTAAAGACATTGAGGTCCAGCCCAGAGAGATCTACCCCGTCTCCGACAAAGCGAGATTACACTTCTTCGAGCAGTAGAAGTTCGCCCGAACGTAGAAAGTTGAGCAACTCTAAAAGCTCTTTGGAAAAGAACACCCCAGACCACAGAAGAAGGGCCGATACTAAGTCGCCCGAGTATTACGAAAAGAAACAAAGGAGTTCACCTTCTAAATCTCCAGTTCAAAAAAAGAAACAGACCACTCATCACAATGAATCAGCGACCAGTGCGAGGAAACATTCAGAAACAAGAATTACCACTAAAGAAACCAAATCAAAGAGGAAATTTTCTTCTACCAAGGAAAGGGCTGCAAATCGAAACAGAGTGGCTACCCCAGGCGCATCTCCTTCGACGAGTCCTGTACATAAGAAAACGGGCAAAGAGACATCCGACAGCGATTCTGATGCATCGCAAGCAACATATGACTGTACAAAGAAATCGGAAGTCATAACCGAATCTAGGACGAATATGACCACGATTAGAAAAAAAGATAAGAAAGAACAATCACCGGAATTTTCTTCCGAAGGATCCATCACAAGGGAACTGAAGAAAAAAAAACAGACCACCCCGGAACCCAGCGCGTTCGCTCCGATAAAACAATTCAAAACCACTCCGCAAGACTTGACGCGGACTGATAAAGACCAATTAAAACATATAAAATCGAATAAATTGACAGTCGAAAATGTAAGAAAACACAAGGAAAACGATTATTTGCCGACAGGGAGAACTGAAAATTTCGTGAATGAGGAACGTGATGAAACGAAACTTGTTCGACATGAAAATAAAAATGTTCGTACAACAAAAGGGACTGTTAACACAGTTCATGATATCTGTGAAATGAAAGACAATGTTTTGAGACAGAGAGATGTGCAAAGGGATATTGCTAAGGATGATACAGATACCAAAACTGTTGAAGAACTTACATTTGAAAAACAAGCAACTTCCAAAACATCAGGTGTTGTCACTGCGCCCTCCGAAACGTTAGATAATGAAGAAAAACGGGAAATATCCATTGAAAGCACTAATCTAAAATCGCCCGAGAAAAAGGAAAGCGACGATTTTGATCCCTCAGTGGCGAAGATGTATAAAGCTCCTTTTGCTAGACCAGAAGATCAGAATCCTGAAAAAAGCTTTGTCCGTCAGCCTTCTGCAACGACCCCCGAACGTCATCAGCCTGGCACAGATAGACTACATCATGAAAGGAGCCCAGACCGTAAGCAACCTGGCACTGACCATCAACACCCTGAAAGAAGCCCTGATCATAAGCATCTTAGCACTGATCATCAACATCCTGAAAGAAGCCCCGAACGTCCTCATCCTGGTACAGGCCGTCAACTCCCTGAAAAGAGCCCCGAACGTCAGCAACCTGACACTGACAATCAACACCCTGAAAGAAGCCCTGACCATAAGCATCTTAGCACTGACCGTCAACATCCTGAAAAGAGCCCCGAACGTCATCATCCTGGTACAGACCGTCAACTCCCTGAAAAGAGCCCCGAACGTCAGCAACCTGACACTGACCATCAACACCCTGAAAGAAGCCCTGACCATAAGCACCTTAGCACTGATCGTCAACATCCTGAAAGGAGCCCCGAACGTCATCATCCTGGTACAGACCGTCCACATTCTGAAACGAGCCCCGAACGTCATCATCCTGGCACAGACAGACAGCATCATGAAAGGAGCCCAGAACGTCATCATCCTGGTACAGACCGTCAACACCCCGAAAGAAGTTCTGACCGTAAACAACCTGGCACAGACCAACAACACTCTGAAAAAAGCCCTGACCGTAAGTATCCTAGCACTGACCGTCAGCACCCTGAAAGAAGCCCTGACCGTAAGCATCCTAGCACGGACCGTCAATATCCTGAAAGGAGCCAGTCACCAGTCAAAAAATCAGTACAGGAAACTTCTCTCAAGAAAATGAAAACATCCGATGAAAAAACAGAAAGAAGAGATTCTTCCAACAGAAGTACAAAAACTAAAGAAACAACGACACTCGCGAGGCAGGACAATTTTTCAGTTACAAGACGAAATACACAAAAACCTATTTGCAATGACTCAAAACCAAGAAATACGTCAAATGTACCTCTGGTCAAAAAACCGATAGTTGCTTCAAAACATTTCACACCAGAACGCAAATCGACTTTATCGAAACACACAACTAAGGTAGTTACTTCTTCAAGATTAGAGCAGAATACATCTCCTGATTCCCCAACTAGAAGACATCCAGTATCTCCAACCGTTCAACGGAAAACTGCTCAATCTAGGCAACTCATTCAAGCAAGAAAAGTACCCACGTCGTCTCATAGACCTCAAACGACCCAACCAACGACGACGAAAACCACTAATGCGTCACCTTCTACACTTTCCAAAACAACAAGCACTTCAATCCAAGAAACAACAAAAATATTGCTCGGAAGAAAGAGGGAAGATACAACGACAAAGAAACGGCCGTCATTCGAAGGCGGTAAGACGGAATCGCCCAAACCGAAGGTTTCAATTCCTCGCTCGGTTCCCCAAAAATCGAAACTTGTCGATACGAGTTCTCGCCCAGCACAGAAACCACAAACAGAGACTTTTAACAAGCCACAAAGAAGAGTTGTTCCATCTCAAGTTAAACTGCAAAGCAAAGACACAGGCAAGACTGCCATATTGACAACAAGGGAAACGCACAGAACGGAAACGCAAAATTTTTTAAAGAACGAAGCTAAGAGCGTTTCCGATTTGGAAGACGAGACACCTCCGGAAGAATTTTATGGAGATTTAGACGACGAATTTGATTCTTCTATCCAGAAAAGTATGAGTACATCTGCTACTCAGGTAAAAGTGCGAAACGATGTTTACTATAATGCCAAGAAGGATCAAACTCACGAACTCGATTCGAGAAACAGTTCTGTTCTGTCAATGGAAGAAGATTCTCCCACGAAACCCAAATCTCAACCGTATAAAAAAGAACCATCCTTGAAAACAAAAGTGAATCAAGATTTGTTAAACGTTGTTGTGCAGCATCCGAAGTCGTCAAGGGAATCGTCGCCGGGTTATTCAAGCACTGCCGATAATTTTGCAGTCACGACGAGCGATGACGGAGAAAGCAACCCTAGATACGCCGATTTCGTTAGCGAGCCTGAAGATGTTGAAGTATTCGACAAACTGACTGGGCCATCCGGTCCTATTCCGTACAGCCACCGAATCAACGACGATGTTGGCGATGAGAACGATGTTCCAAAGAGTGTAGCTGAGAAAGTCAGTGTTTTCTTAAACGAAGCTAAAAAATCTTTAGAAACCAAGGTGACAGGCAACCAAGTCCTTATCGACAATTCCAACTCCGTCTCCAAAGCGAAAACACTATTTGAAAAAGTAACCAAGACTGAAAACGACGAGAAAAAGCACCATTTGATTGAAGATTTTGTAGATCGCCCGGGGAAAAAAACAAAAACCGATTCTTCATACTATGAGACTCACAAAATCACCGAGCACGTTGACGATACAGCTGAAGGAGAATTTGACCTTGCTGTAAACAGTCTACCGCTGAAAACCAGCAATGAAACGGACTACCGGCAGGAATTGAAAGAAACAACAAAATCTTCCCGCAAAGACACTCCTGTACCTAAACCTCTGGGAAAGACCTTCTTACGAAATGAAAACCGCAAATTCATCGAGAAAGAATCGATAGGCGCCAAAACCGATGTCAGCACGAAGAAATCATTTTTTGAAAATAAAGCGGAAGAACAAAAGCATCCAAGAAAGCCGAAACAAGAACCATCGTCTTACGCGAAAGACACCCAAGCGAGCACAGTGCGTTCCCGGTCTCCGGATAAGGTGCATAGCAATGAGCAAAGGAGGAAATCTTCCGTAACAACTGAAGATGTATCTGCAATGGAAAGAAGGCAGTTCAAATCTGAAGTAACTGTCAAAACAATTACCAAATTACACGAACCAACATCTAGTTTCGATAGAAACGATTCAGACAAATCTATTTCCTCGAGAAGATCTTCAAAGCCTGGAGAAAGAACACCCTGCCTTCCTAAATACCAGGAAAGCACAAAACAACCTGAACGAAGGGGTTCAAGTCCTACAAAAGGTTACGATACGGAGAAAACTATTGGCTCTCCAAAAGTGACAATGCATTACGAAACCACTGAAAAATACGAATCACATACCACCACTCAAAATGTAAATGATACTCCGCGAAAAACCGGGCCGCATGCTGCTTTTCCGACGAAATCGTATGAAACGTCTAGAAAAACCGACCATACTACGTATTCTCATTCTGGAGCATACGACAGTCCTAGGAGCGCCGAGCCGCATGCCTTGAGTCCACAATCTTACGTGACTTCAAGAACAATCGGACATACATACCCTCATTCTGGAGAAGTCGACAGTCCTAGGAACGCTGAGCCCACTGCCTCGAGTCCAAAATCCTACGAAATGTCCAGAGAAACCGAGTATACTACCTCTACTCATTCTACACCATACAACAGTCCTAGAAACACTGAGCCCCATACCTCGACTCTAAAATCTTACGATAGTGCTAGAACTACAACCACTCATTCGAGAAAATTCGACAGTAACAGAAAAACGGAGCCTCGTGCCCCCAGTCCGTCGAAGTCCTATGACAGACCCTGGAAATCTGAGCCCCGTGCCACCAGTCCGCCAAAGTCCTATGAGAGTCCCAGGAAATCTGAACCCCGCTCGTCCAGCCCACCGAAGTCCTATGATAGACCCTGGAAATCTGAGCCCCGTGCCTCCAGTCCGCCAAAGTCCTATGACAGTCCCAGGAAATCTGAACCCCGCTCGTCCAGCCCACCAAAGTCCTATAACAAACCCTGGAAATCTGAGCCCCGTGCCACCAGCCCGCCAAAGTCCTATGACAGTCCCAGGAAATCTGAACCCCGCTCGTCCAGCCCACCAAAGTCCTATGACAAACCCTGGAAATCTGAGCCCCGTGCCACCAGCCCGCCAAAGTCCTATGACAGTCCCAGGAAATCTGAGCCCCGTGCCTCCAGTCCGCCAAAGCCCTATGACAGTCCCAGGAAATCTGAGCCCCGCGCCTCCAGTCCATCTAAATTAGGTACAAAATCCTACGAGAGTTCTTTAAAATCAGAAAATGTCGGAGAACAAACTGTGAGAAGCTACGTAAAAACCTCCGATAGTGTCTTACAGCGAACATCGAAACCTGAAAACGATGTGAAAACATTGTCAAAATCCCTCAACGACAGCACAATCTTCAAACAGAATGAGACTGTTCTTCAGAAAACAAAAACAGAAGAAAAATTTGGTGTACAACTTAGAAAAACTCCTTCAGCGAATAAATTCGACACCATAACCGTAAGACTTAAAAGTTCAACAAGTGAAGCCCCCGCAATAGAAAATATATATGATTTGGAACTTCTTGAGCAAATGGTAAGCATATTTTTATTAATTGGGAAAATAAATTTACATTTAATATACGCAAAATAAAAGAGGATTTTATTATTTTATTTAAATCGCTCAAAAATGGGAGTAGGTATGGTTAGAGTGAGAAATAAATGGAGCAGGATGGTTTTCATATATTCAGTCAATAATGGCAGTTTTATTATCTTAACAGATTATTGTATTGCTATATTCATACAATAAATGTATTTAAAGAAATTTGCATGAGTAATATATTTTTTATTCAAATTCATATAGTTGTCAGTACAAAAAGGAAATATTTCATTTTACTTTAGTTTTTAATTATTGCTCTTTTGTTATAATTATACAGCTAATTAAGGCCGAGGCTTACGAAGAAAGAAGAAGAATAAGAGCCCAAATAAGATTGGTGAAGAAAGAACTCGAGGAACAGCACAATAGCATCACAAGATCTACAAGCGTTCAGACACGAACACATGAAGTCAAATCGCACACATCTTCGAGTAGAGATGTACTGGTTATATACTCAAAATGTTATCAAATTAAACATCAGTTTTATGGTTTTTGTTTTTTCTAATTTAGGAACATACTTCAAGGAGAAGCGTCAAAGAGCCGAGCCCCGAACCTAAGATGTCTTTGACGAAACCCTCTTACAACACACGCGTACAGAACAAGGAAGAAGATAAAGAAAAAACTGTCCCTAAGAGATCTTACTCCGAAAGGCCCAAGTCGACCCACTCGCCCGATCATACTTCCGTTAAAACCGTTACAACAACCACAACAATTCGTGAGAAGTCTGATTCATTCAGTAGATTGTCTCCCGAAGAAAGAACCGTCTGCACTTACGAAGTGAAAAGCCAACCGGTCGACTCGTCGTTTTTGTTTCAGAAATCGACGGAGCCTCCACAGCCTGGTTGGTATTTTATAACCACTTGGACGAATTTATCGTACAATTTGTTCTGTCAATTCCAGAAAAATCATCTAATTTGAAAAAAACCTCGTATGAACAGAGGAAGACGACCACGACGTCAACCACCACTACAAACACGGTAACGGACCCGATAACGTCTTCTTATGGCATGGGCCCGATTGACGAACACGGAAAACCACTTTTTGGACTGAGAGCACTCAGAAGAACTCATCAGGATCAAACACCAGCAAGTATGTTTCTGCACCTCACTAATGACCCTCATTGAACTGATACACAAATTTATGAATTTCGGCATTCCAGATTTATTTTCAGCAGATAAATAGATACGTAGATATACAAACAAAGAACATATCGGACTCTCGTATTTTGTTGATTATTTCAAACTTTATGTATTTTTGTCGTTTTATTAATTAAAATATACATATTTTAATGTAAACAAAATTAAACGAGATCAGAAATTCTCGGTTATTGATAAAAATTATTCAGTTTTGATGGTTTGAAAGAAAATTCACCAAAGCACTGGAAAATCATTTAGTGATAGCTTAAACTTTAACTTACTATTTATTACCTATTTTGCTCTGAATAACGTGTATTACCTCCTTTGGCCTCGCAAAGGGTCTTAAGTCTCCTACACTTCGAGTAAATAATTATTGGATTCCGTCTTGTGAAACAAAATACCATTCTTCAACATGAACATTTGGCTTGTTGGAAGCGGCGAACGATGTCTAAACCATCTCTTAATCATGTACCATAAGAATACTATCGGATTCATGTCGGGAGAGCGTGCTGGCCAATTCATTGATGTCATTCCTACATCCTCCAAATACTATACTTTGATCTTAGACAAAAGGCCGAGAAGCGAAAAAAAAAAAAACTTTTCAACTTACCATCTTTCTCCCCAAATTACCTGCTAACGCTAGAATCCTGTTTGCCTCCTCTATTCTCGTATACCTTTTCCCTCCACCTAAAATATATGTCAAAGATACTGAGCCTCCCAGATGATCGACTGCCTAAAATAATCGCTCTACAGATAATTAGAAAGAATATCTCCTGGTATAATCAATGGGCTTCTCTAGCCCAGAAATACTCATGCCCCTGGCAAAACTCCGGTGTTCGGGAGAATCTCTCGGACCTTTTAGTGCTTCCTTACAAAATAATCGAAGTTCATCGAGAAGAAGCTGTGAATAAAGCGAAAAGCACAGAGAGGTTCTACTTGTATAAAGAACTTTTCAACGAACACCTATTGTCATATAAACCGAGCCTTTCCCAGGACCTTAACATTAGGTGTTGGCTATTCAAACTAAGAGGAGAATTGTTATATTTGAAATTCAAACCCTAGATTTTGAATGATCCTCACGATAAACTTGTCCACTTTGTAACAGCTACTCCAGGGAAGATTCATATCACTTTTTGGGAGTCTGCTCTCTTCTCTCAGAATTGCGGGTATCTTACTTGGGAAAGACAGCCATCTCGAGAGTTGAAATACTGGAATATCTTTCTAACCAAGTATCCCCTTTACCACTAATTTCCTTTGCTCGGCGTGCCTGGAGAGTGAGATATGAGTGGCTTTCAGATATGCAATAATTGTCGTCCCTGTACATATACTTTTACTTTTACTGCTTTGTTTTTTAGTACTCTATCAGTTCTCAAAAGGTAATTTGTTCTTATTTAATTCTTTTTGTTTTCTTCTTTTTTCTCATATTTCCATCTATTATGATTCATACACCTGCTATATGTTAATTTTCTCTTCGAATTTTTTTTTTGTTTTAATATTTCTGTATTTGTAAACTTTTAAGCAGTAAACTCAGCAGACGGCTATTAGCCATGCTTATTATACTTTGTATCAGTATTTCTTTTTTCTTTTTTTGTATCAATTCTAATAAAGTATTGTGTATTGTATTGTATTATATTGTACATCCTCCAAGTAATAGGTGACAACTCTCATTAACACGAAGTTGTCTCCAGAAAAAGGAGGGAATGTAGGAAGGAGGGACTTTCTCAATGTACCTTAGTACTGATTATTTGGAGATCGTGAGATGCGGTCCAATGTGACGTATGCTTTACAAAAACATTTTCTTTATCTTACCAACGTTTCGATTTTTATTGAGCCCTGAAGATGATCTCAATAAAGTTCGAAACGTTAGCACGATAAAGAAAATGTTTTTCTAAAGCCTACATCACACCAGACCGCATCTCACGATCTCCTATTAATCATTAACTAACGGTCACTAAACACAGTGAAGTGGAATCAACGTCCATACTCGTACCGGCCTGATTATCATACAGTACGGATGCTTGACTGCACTAACGTACATTTAACAAGTTTTTCCGGAAGCTGTGGTACCATTCGCTCCATTTCTTGGGGACACCTTCGTATTAATGCATGATAATGCTCGACCTCATGTTGCCCGACTAGTCACCCTTTACTTGGAGGATATAGGGATTACCACAATGAATCAGCCATGAAGTTCTTCTTAAAGAATTCTTTAGAACACCTAGGGGACGTGATAAAGAGTGACTCTTCAATCACGTTAAATCTAGTTCATGTTTATTAAAAACCAAAAGTAATTTTTAAAAAAAGCAGACAATTTCGAGTATAAAATGAAAAAGTACCCTTTTGTATATGTGTCTGTTTAACTTTTTTATGTGAGGATAATTTAATTGTAACGACACACACTAAATTCCTATTTGCGATTTTTAAGTAAAGTAAAACGAACGAAATTAATTTGATGAAAAACATATTTTGTACATATTTCTAGCATATGTCTTATATTACTATGCATTTTCGTTAGATGTCGTTCATGTGATTACAGAGATTTATTTATAGAATTGAAATGTTTTTAATTATATAATAAATAAGATAATTACAAATTATCGGAAGGTGCAAACTTTTCCTGTGTTAAATTGTTAAGTGATAACTTGAGTCTTATCCTAGGATCAACTGTGAATGTACAGTCCCATGGTCCAAGGCCGTTTTATAAAGATAAAATAATAAACATTTTCACTGTTTGTCGTAGACGATGATTTGGCCAGAACTGAGACAGTGACTTACAATACCTACACTCTCACGACCAGTGATTTCGACGAGCCGGCGAACCTCGCCAGCCTGAAGACGATGTCGAAGGTCGACAGAGAATTCTCCGGTCCCGAGATCGTAGAGGTGAGCAACGACGATTCCGCTTACTCAGAAGACACGAGAAGGACGTCGAAGGAATACACCGTCGAGGAGGTCTCGGAACTGGACGGCTACCTGAGCACAGGGCTGAAATCTGAAAATATAAAAAGGTTCACTTCCCACTTGCAGAACCTGGAGAATTCGCAGACTGAAACAGGACATGAAGAAGAGACGAGGCGGCCTTTGGTGAGAGGCGATTCTGTCAAAGCTCTGCAACACAAATACCAACAGGCTACAGGTAAATAATCTCAATTTCTATTTACGCTTCTAATAAATAAAATTATACCATTAAATTTTATAATTAAAACAGAAACAAAACGATTTATTCATAATTACATAATATGTTTAAAAAATTAAATAAACAATCGTTTATAATACATTAAACGCACTCATTATAAAATATTAATAAAATAATAATTTAATAATCACTAATAATAAATTTTAATTATAAATAATATAAAAATTGGTTTAACTTTGTGTGTTCAAAAAATTATATATTTTCCTTCCATAGGCATTACTTATTGTTATATAATGATAATAAATTAAAAAGGTTAAGGTAAAATTTAAAATACTTCGTAAAATTAAAGGAAGTTTGTGAAATCTCTTTATATTTAAGATGAAAAGCTGTGAAGAGGGCTTTTCTTTTGTAAACTTTGTGAAAAGAAATTTTGGAAAACATATTTTTGCCAAATATTTACAATAATTCAACTCCACTATTTTATTTATTTATATTATCAACTTCCGTCATATTCTTTCGCTCATAATACATTTCATAAAAATTTAAAATTTAAATTTTAATCGGAACTTAAATGATTATTTGATATTCTCACATGGGCGTTGAATGGAATTGAATTTAAAAAAATATTACTAAATTCATTTTTTCTTTTGTTTAAGTCAAATTAAATTTTAACATTATTTTAATTAAATATAATACATATAAACTAAGCCATCTTTCGCCTCTGTTGGTACTTTATAAACGATAACCCAGAACATTTAGACGAATTGAAAATTTCTAAGTTTAAGAAGCACCAACATTTTAACATTGTGTTGCAGACTAGATTGTCTTAATTTGGACGAAGAAAAATTTAAATTTACTGATTTTTAAAAGTTTTCTAACAAATTTTTCATTTTTCTGGTATACGAAACACCAAGAGGCAAAATAAATTTATAATTTCAGTGAATTAAATAAATTCACAGTTTACATTATTTTCAAAAGAAATAAAAATGAATGAGAACATTTTTAAGTTCTTATTTAATTGAAAAAAGTTATGCGGTCAATCGGACTACGAACTCTGATGGATATAAAAATAACCTTGTCGGTGAAAGTTTACGTGCTTCGCTTTTCAAAGCAGTTTGGTTGTATAATTGGAAAGATGTCAGAATGTAACAAAGGTGATGTGCATGTTTTAACCAGAAGCCGCTAACCAAACATGTGGAGGAAGTTCATACCCTAAGGCTGGTCTCATCCTTCGTTCTAACAGTCTCCAACATTCCGATGATCCAAATCAATGTAAGTCCATTAACTAATTGACTTTCTTTTAAACGAAATAACAAAAAGCTTGATTTTACTTGTGAAACGTTAAAACGAAAATTAATATTTGAACGTCCTGCAGCGTCGTCATCGATGAGAAAGACGAAGACGGAAACAGTGGAGACTACGAGACGTGTGTTGCACAGCTCCTACGGTGGAGGCGGCGGTGACAAACAAGTCGTCGTCAAGGCTCAGATGTCAGAACAAGTGGAAGACTCTTCGGGGCTTAAGTCTGCCCGTCAAGTTCAAGGTGTCAAGGCGATGACGACCACTATGACCAAAGACGGTCCTGTCGAGAAGTCATCTTCGGCTGTGCGGGTCACCACCTCTGGAGGTGGCACCTCTAGTACCACAACGACAACCTCCTTCCTCGACAACAACGCCAAAGTAACGGGTGTGCAAGATATACTGTCCAGAATGAGAAATGCAGACCTTGGTAAGAGATTGACGTATCGCGATGATATATCGTATTATAACTATAGAAAAAGAACGGACCGATCAAAAAAATTTCCATCTGAAAATTTATTTATGATTTTTTTAACTTTACGTATCAGCTCTATGCTAGATCAAAGGCCTCTCCTTATAATTTCTTCTCATACATCCGAACTTTTTAAGTTTGAAATTTTTTTGTTATTGTTCGCCAAATTTTCGACAAATTAGTTTGACTGTTTTTCCTTGATTTGTATGTTTTTCCGCTTTGCCTCCTCTCTTGTGAGTTTTTCTTCTTTCCCATTTTCATTTTATTGTTTAATTTATGCCTTTTAAATCTGTTGTTTGTCTTATTTGTTCTTCTTCCTATTTTTCTTTTCTTTTTTCATCGCGTTTCCTATTCGTAGTCTTCGTACTGTCCAAACTTTAATAATATTAGCACCGATATTATTGATTAACTATTATCATTCTTGAATATTATAATTTTGTATAAAAAAATGGTTCCAATTGTAAAAAAATTTAGAATTGAAACCTATTTTTCAAATATGTGATTAGATGTTCACATTTGTTAACCTTGTAAATTATTAATTTCTCGAAAGCTGGACGAAGGAAATTTTTTCCAATAGTTTTCTTTCCAAATGGACTTATCCTTGATTGTTTTAATATTAAATTTATTTAAATTCCTTTTCCTGAAGAACTTTGTGTACATTAAATATATGTTATTACTATAGACTTTAGTAATTGTTCTAGGCGAGGGAAATTATTATTTTACTTACTAAGGCTTCTTGATTGTATTGATTTACGGAGTTATATAAGATGAAATCTGCACGTTGATCCTTTCATGTTTTGCAGTTCACGGAAAATTCCAACTTTTGTAATTCACAATAAATTACCGGCAGGCCTCGAGAACCACCTGGGTGTTGGCAGGGTGGGTTCCAGTGGCTATCAGCAGCTAGGCCATTTCAACATCTAACAGCTGTTCCTAAATCCTAACCCTCAAAGGAGCCGTACCTTATGATTAGGGACCACGGTAACAATGAGCGGTAGATCGTGTTAGAGGGTTGTGTGTATCCTGCAAAGGTAAGCATGGGCCTTGGCATGCCATTTTCTCTCAATCCAATTTCCGGGTCTGTGCAGTGGGTACTCCAAGGAGATTACAACAGACCCTTCCCAACCCTTGGTTGCAAGGGGGGTTTCCAGGCATAAAATAATGTTGTAGCCTTGAGAACGTGACGCACTCTCTAAAGCACAAGCTGTATTCGGCGCGCATGATCTCCTTAAGCACCCTCCGCGTGCATTTGGAAGATAGGACGAAGGTAGCGTATAACATGCGACGATGCAAGACTACGCCTACCCAGTCCCTCGAAATGCGTTAAGGGAGTTATTAGCTTGCGAGCTGGACACGGACAAGCGGGTGCTACATCAGCGGAACACGTGGGTTACGGTACCAGATCCTGGCTGCATAAACGGGGGAGTGTCTATAACCAGCTGTACGACGGGATAGTACAGTGTATTCAGTTCCATGCCCAGTAGCGAGCTATGCGGGAATGGATTCGTCGTTGGACATTGGTGTAACCACTCTGCCTGTTGTACGGTGGCGCTCGCGTCCTTTACCGAACTCAGGATCCTCTACGGGGTGGTTAGAAATTCCACTTTAAACGAAACCGCGGCCCGAGCGGATCCGATAGTTTCGACGTTGGCGAGGCCACTACACTCAGAAAGGTAGAGTCTTTATTTAGGGAACGCGTTGGGAGTCCGGCTGATGCATTTCAGCCCTTTCAGGTATCCCTTTACGCACGGCATACGGTTAAGTGCACAACGTTGACCCACCCGTTCGGACGGGGCAAGCGTAATGTCTGTTTGAATAGTCCGTAGATGTGGTGGCTTCTACACCGAAGCTCACGGTGTTCACAATATCTACCGTTAGCGGAGGTGAGTTGCTACTAACTTGAGAATCTAAACGCGTGATAAGGTCTACGTGCCAGGTGAAGATAAGCCAAACTTGGCCTATCATTAATCGGCTTAATCGGAGGATAACACTTCTTCTACGACTCAGATCTCCGAAGCCCCATATCGATTGATGATGATACGTGAGAGCTTCTCTGCCGGTTTAGCCGCTTATCGGTCCCTAATGTATTGTTTTATGTATTCATTGTTTTGTTTTTTTATGGTGCTTTATTTATTCCTCTTATCCTTTTGTTTTGAGGATGTGTTTTTCATTTATCTCGAGGACTACTTTTCTCCACTCTTTTACCATTTCAACTATCATCTTTTCAAATTTATTGTGTGATCACGCGAAAAGAAGAGTTGTGTTCAGGAAGCCGTAGACCCGGCGGTTGTGGGTTCAATTTCCATCGCCCCTGACTTTTTTCACGCTACGCATCGTACAATACATAATTACATACAACTGATCTGGCTAATATACAAGGGTAAAATACTATTTTTTATATTTTTCTAAAGTTTAATATTAGTATAACGACTTTCAAAAATAAAATAGCAAAAGTTCTTAGTAGTTAAATTAGAAAATTTAAATCACCAACAAAAATCCACGAAACAGAAAGTTTTTCGAAATTTATCTAATGAAAAAATCCCTATCGTGTTTATGGATTTAAAACTAACATATTTAAGGACTTTTATTTGCCAGATGTGAGTCTTAATTGAATATATTTTATTTTTTTGCATTCAGTTACAGAAACAGACGACACTGAAGAAGATGCAAAGGCAAGGGCTTTACTTAATAAATTCCTCGGCGCCTCTGTCATTCTCCAAGGGATGGAGCAAGGCATGAGGCACTCCGCGAGTCAGCAAAAGAGCGCAGCCCTTGTTGGCGAAGTCGACAAACAACTGGTGAAAGTAGGTACACAAATTACAAATAATTATACAATTGTTCTGCTAATGTAAGAAGACTATGAGATTGAAAATCCGGCGTAGGTTGATTTAGTAAATCGCCTTTGCGAAAGTAAATAGTCCAGAAGTACGTTGCCGTGTTTAGCAGTCGGTGCTTGACATCCGCAATCAGTGCAATCTCGGTGAGGATTGCCAAGAAGGAAGACTATGTTTCACCTCGAGGCCGAGCAATGCCAAAAATGAAACGGAGAATTTGCAAATTCATTTACATACGATTCTCTTCCAAGATCAGATCGATCACGCCCACCTAGAAACGATCCACTGAAATTTATGTTTAGGCGTGTATACATTTTCAATCTTATTACACCTTATGTTTTTTCATTTTACTTTTATTGAAATTGAAAAGATTTGTTCTTAATTTTTACTTGAAGATATACTTTGTTGAACTATTGTTTGATATAGTCTGATTGTTGTTAGTTCAGACGCGTTTCGGCATTTCGCAATCTTTACTGTTTGAATGATTCTGTAGAACGAAGGTCTGGATTGTGTGAGGGGAGGCTGTGTTAGTGTTTTTTATCGGTTGATGGACTAACAAGTGGACGACCAGGTTAGTCACGATTCTCACCAAGCTTTTTTGACTTCAAAATGTCAGACCCCACCCGAATCCGCCACTTTTTGTGAATAGACCACCAATTTTTTTTTTTTTTTAAGTTGAAATTTTCCGATTTTTATTTCGCCGATCTACCTGAGCAAATGTAAAATATGTGAATATATCATTTTACGGAATTATTTATATAGGTTGCCATAAAATTATAGTAAAAGGTATACAAGTTTATCAGTACCCAAACATTTCCTTTATCGTGCCAACGTTTCGATCTTTACTGAGATCATCTTCATGGCCGAGGATGTATAAACATAGTTTAAATTATACAAATACATTTAAAATGTGAAAATGAATTTATAGGAATTTATAGAAATATAGAAATTTTCGGTTTAATCAAAGTATTTATATTCACTGGAAATGTGGTTTCTGATAGATGTGTCACGGTTGTGTGTTGACATTTATTTATGATTATCAATTTTTGAACCCCTAAAATTTTTCTTTTTATTGAGACATCGTTATCGGAATATATGATTGAAAACACAACCGTGACATATCTACACAGAAAACACACCCTTTCAGTGAGTACAAATACTTTTGCAAAAAGCTTCATTATAATAAATATATCGAATATATCGATTTATTATGCATTCCCTTAAGTTTGCAATGAACACTTTGTTATTGGAAAAGTTTTATTATATTTATGGAATTTCTTATTCACACTTGTTAACAAAGATTCTTACGTTTGTTAGCATGCAAGGCCAGGAAGTTATTTAGACGTTGATTAGTGCAGTTCAGTAATATTACATATATCCAACAGGGAAATATATTCTTGCAGAATTCTTCAGAAAATGGGCAAAGGTTGGTTTACATTTGACCTCATTTTCGTAGAAACATCGAAAAAAGATTGGTCCAAATTGGTCCAAATCCTTGACCTACGAACCTAGTACCTTGTAAGTCTTTTTGATCGTTCTAGATGGTCCTTTTGATTTTCGGTCCTTTTTCTTTTTAATTTGTACAATTTTTTAATAAAAACGTAAGCTTTTAGTAATTTGTGTGCTTATTGGTTTTTAGTGTTGAATGTGTTATGTTCATATATATTTCTAGGTTTTCGAGTTAATTAAGTTATTAATTTATACATATATATATTAAGTTTATATTATTTATTTATTTTCCTTCTTTTTGTATGCCGTGTAGTCGTTAAATATTTGTATGTATTTTCGATGGTTCGTGGTTGTTTTCTATTAGGTGTGTCGCGTAATGCATTATTCCGTCGTTGTCCCAAAATGATTTATATGTCCTTTGAATCTTTTTATTTTGTAACCTGCCTGTCCAATGTACTTGTCTCCGCATTGGGATGTTAGTTTATTTCGTTTTTTCTAGTTGGTCCGTCTTGTCACTGTTTTCCCGTAATAATTGTGGATTTCAGTGCTGTTTTATGCCTAATTTTTTGAATAAGTTAATTATTTTGTATGTGTTTTTCCCAATGTATGTTAACGTTGTATGTATGTTAAACCATTTATGGTCTATTTTTGTTTGTGAGTTCGTCTTTTGTTTATTATTGTGATGACAGGGTTTCTGTTATAGCCGTTATTGTGTTCTATGATTTGCATTATTTTTAATTCCTTACTACGTATTTGTCTTTTTTAGTAGGATTAATCTTAGTCTGTCTTTCGTGCATTTCAGGGCTGCCCTTCTGCGTTGGTGTGGCTGGTTTGAGTGTACTTGATTGTTCATGATTTTTCTGTCTGGATTTCTAATAAACTAAGTGTATTGTCTAAGTTGAGGCCTTTTGTCACGGAGTGAACTTACAATACTTATCTTTGCACATGGCGAGTACAACTTACAATCAGATTAAAAACAGGCCAAATGTTTACATCGTGATAATTCAAGGATAATCCCCCACGATGCCGATGAACTAAAACGAGCTGAGTGTGCCAATTTCTGTGTTTGGCCGACAGAGATCAGTTTAAAAATATATTTATTTTTAAATAATCCTTATCAGTTAGATATACTCTTGACAACATATGCACGCGTTTCTCACGGTAGTGAAGTTGTATACGGGTACGGGTTTTCGAGTCGACGAAGACAGATGGAATGAATGAATCCGTCTCCGGCTCTTCCCTGTTCCTTTGTTCTCCCTTTTTTCCGACGAAAATATCAAAACTGGCGAATTCAAGTGCAATAACCAACCTGGGCTAAATATCGACTTTTCCCGCCCCACCGCCCGCCCGCCCATGTTAATTCCTTTCCCTTCCCAAGAGAGAGGATAGTGGACCCAAAATAGACGCCGGACTGAGGATTGACGCAGTTCGCGCCTATTTTGGTCAGACTTCACAGATGCGGGCTACGGAGCCAGCAGCACCGCCGCACTTGCACACAACCGCCTTTCAACCCTCCGTGGATGAAAACAACAATATAGGGACATACACGGGATTTGTCTTTTTCCACCATTTCACAGAGCCGCGCCATCTACAAGAAAAGTGACGTCGATTTCCCAGGGGCGAACAATTGCGAAACCGGACTCAAAAAGCTAAATTAAAGTGGTGTCCCGGAGGTACGTTTTATTTTATCATAACAACTGTTTATTTGAATTGCAAGTTAATCCGACATTAGAACCGTTAAAAACTGACAATTTCTAGTCTAAACCATGAAAAACATACTTATCATCTATAATTAATTCTAGATGCTACAACATTAAAATATAACTTCTTTTGTAGGGTCAAATAACTTTAACCTTCTTAATTTCAACATATTATCTTGCTGATTTTCTTGCAATACTCTCATATCAGAGTGTCGTTTTGAAGAGAAAAAACCGATTGAAAGTTTCTCTTCTGACGGACTTTAATTACTACTCAAGTTTCAAATATTTTCATTTACTTTTTCTCCTTACAGAAAACATCACATTTCTGCGTTAAATGAAAACAACTGTTTTTATGCAAAATTTGTATTTACTACATTGGGTTTTTACAATGATTAGTTTTCTCTAATTCTTTTAAAGTTTTACTTCGGTTTTTGCAAGTCAGAATAATTTTTACATCCAAATATAAAGTATTTCACTTAATATTTTTGGTCATGTTGTAAATTTTAAAAAATATACCTCAAGTACGAAGTTTGGGTTAAGAAAAATAATCGTTTAAGAGATATTTAAGTAAAATCACATTTTGGGACGAAGAATTATTGTTTTTCACCCCGACTTGTGCCGTTGTAAGTTGCAAAAAGAAGCTTAATTTTTCATAGGTTACACTTTTGGACATCCGCCCAGTTTCGTTTTCCCAGTAAAGTTTTTTGGCATGTGAAAAACAGTTCCAAAGGAAAATAAACTAGGGCCCATATTAGGGGGCAAAACGTACCCGGTCTATATTTAAATGGAACGTGAATCGTAAATGTAGAAAATGGCGGGCTTTCCTAGTGGACTTATTTTCTCATCGGCTCATATAACTCGGTCAGGTGCATGGGGAAGCCCGCAAAACGACTTCATTGCGGCTCGAACAAACAGAGGAATCTTATGACCCGTGGAAATCATGAGGCGTTCCGCTTGTGTGGTATTTTCAGGGGGTACTTGGAAAGAAACAAGCACTACTGAATAAGAAAATTTAAATATTTATTTTTCATTCTAATTTTGTTTTAAAAAATACGTTTTTTAAAGCAGTTTTCATTCTCTAAATTGAACTTCTTATAAAAAAAAAATTATGTTTTGAGGTTTGTGGGGTGACGAGCCAGTAGTTTACTCGTTTCAGAACATTTTCTGTCTATCGTTGCTGTTTTGGTCTGATGAACGGGTGTAATGTATCCGTTAATAGTACTTGGTCCTCCGGGCTGGATTTCCTTACTTGTTATTTCCAAATGGCGTTCAAAGTACAAAAGACACTACACGTCTATTGAATTTGGCAACTAACTTGCTTTTAGAACCGTCTTACAAAAAAATGTTGTTTTTTCCATTTCATTCGCTCTATATGGAACTCCTTATCAAAACACCTGTCAAAACAGTTATGGATATTTTTCTCTTCAGGTCTGCAGAGTAGTGATGAACCTGTAGTGTAGACGTTTCCGATCATTTTTTCTGTCTATCTTTGTTGAATTTGTCTGACAAATTTATTTCGTACTCCTTCGTACGAAGAGCCCTTATTTGTAAGCATTGGTCCTCCTGACCGAATTTTTACCAAAAATTATACATGGTGCCGTGGGGTGAAGTACTTAATGTTTTAGATGTATTGATCATTTTACTCATGAATAATCTGGATCTCGGTGTGGTCTGAATAAAAAAACCAAATTAGAAATTCAATCGTTATCTTCTAAGGTCCTATATTAATTAAAAACTATGAATTCATGTTAGTAATTCAATTATCAATATAACTCTACATATTCTACTAAACAGTCTTAAAGAGTTACAATTATGTCACTT